ATCTGAGGTACAGGATCTCAGGATAAATCCTAAGGGGATTTGACAGACCTTATCAGACCCAAAAGCTACAACTCTTGTTGCATAGGTCCTGCTTTACCTTGGTCTTAACCATCTAGTGGAAAAGTATAAAAACAAAATATAAGAAGTAAAGCCATGCTTTTATGTTGAGCTGTGGGGGACTCAAGTCAACAATTTCTGACATTGCCAGTGAAGCAGAAGACCCAATACTATTATGCGCTACTGGACTCTTTTAGAATATTTTGCTGAGTTTACACACCTATAATATTCAAATAACGGAACTTAACATAAAAGGGGTATACAGATGAATGTCCATTTTGTATCTATGTATTCAAAGTGGTTAGGATAGATATATAGTTACATTCTCCTAATGAATACAATATTTTGTTCTAATGGTGTTTGTGGATAGGATATCAAGTCTGCATCTTGTACAGCAATTAACCACTAAGAAGAAAGTATGCAGTGTGTTAATTATTGAAACTGTCGGACTGATTTGACTTGAAACAGTCTCCTTGCTATTTGTTTATCAATAAAATTATGGGAAAAAAAGGAAAGATGACAGAGACCAGAATACATGTTACAAATCACTCCCAATGTGGGCAACTGGTGTCACTTGTTGACATGGAAACATGGCAAAAAATGAGAAGAAATACTAAGCACTCTGCCTTGGAGATGTTGGAGTTGAAAATTGTATGAGATATGCATGTGTGGCCATGGTAGTTGTTCATTAGTCTAGAAGTTAGGAGTAGCATGAGAGTGATATAATGGGGGTAAGGACAATAATAACTGACAATTTGAGCTACTCATAGATCTCATTCTATCTCTCATCTAATATTAAGGTAGAGCTCCTCTTCTTTACATTGCAGCTTAAAAAAGAAGAGTTACTACTGGTTACCACTGCTTACAGCAATATAGAGGTGTAGGAGATTACCAAAATTCAGGTCTGGTGGGGGCTGCCAGTTAGCTCAGTTGTTTAAGCGTATGCTCAAGCAAATGCAGCCAGGTGTAGGATACCACGGTTCAATCCCCACCTCCACCTGCATTACCAGACCCACCCTTAAGGCAGCCTGAGCCACACAAAAAAAATTGAGGTCTGTCCCATAGTCACTCAGATAGCCTAAATTCAGTGCACTTTCTTCTACCCCACAGAAAACTCCATAAAGAAAACGACATAGTCAAGACACCAGAGCAAAGACATAAGGCATGTGCTTTCTGTTCTCTGGTTCAGTCACGTAGCCCTCTTCCCACAAACTCACTTACAAATGAACATGTTGAGGAAGTTAGAAAAACAGAACACAAGGTCAACCAGGACGCCTTACTTGATGTGGCCTCCTGGCCTTCTGTTCCTTAGAAACAGAATATTACCAGGAAGAGATGAGTTATATAGTAAAAACAAGTGTCTACATTTTGTAGTGTCAATTCGCATTGAAAGTCAGAGTCTCATTAAAAAAATAAGTAATTGATGGAAAATTCACTTAAGGGAATAACTGGAGTGTTAATGTTCGAAATTTACCCTAAACCAAGGTAAAGGTTCTACCATATTTATTGAGTAATGAATGGACTGCTTTGTATGTCTCTATCCACTTTCCTGTAAGAACAAGCTTAAAATAATGTAAGATGGTTTACAAAATACAAAGTTATCATTATTTATAGAACATACACATGTCAGAACTTTCCCCTGTAAAATCTACTTAAATGATGGAAAACACATGTGGAAAATATAGCTCAAACAGAAGTGTAGAAGAGACTCTATTTCCTAAAGAGCTAAGATCGGGGGTGGGGTGAAGGGAAGACACTGAATGGACCTTCAGATTCCTTTATTTTTATTTCCTCCATTTTAAATTTTAGGCAATTCTGGAAAACGTTTTTGGTTAATTCCACCATGTTAGATCTAACATCCTGCTTCATTAAAGTAGTACTTATAGTAGTGATTTATATTCACTAAAAGAAGTAGTAAATCTGCAGACATTTAATAAAAATTACAACACATGCTAGAGACTTCACCGAAGTGCTATTTGGTCAGTGCCATGACTATCATAGCTAACAATTATACCTTAAAATTCAACTTGATTTTTGTCTATTCTGTTGGCAAAAATGAAACACTCAAAAAAGATTAACAAAAGTAGAACAGAATTGAATAATTGTATTTTTGCGGAATAATTTCTGATTTTGACTTTGCAACCAACAAAGTCACAGAGAACTTCAGTCCTAGTGAGTAAGCACACCATTCTGAGGGCTTATGTTTCAGGTTGGTTGTGATTCATAGCTACAATCCAGCCCTCTCTGCTGCACGAGTTTGATGTCACTGCCTTATTCATTAGTAACATATTCCTGCTCTAGCTTTATCAGCTCTCACCATGCAAACTGGGTAATGAGACAAGTAATTTTTTATCATATTTTTTTCTTCTAAGTTAAAAAGTCATTTTACAAACCAAATTAGAAACAGGAAGTCCACTGTGGTGATACACACCTGTAATCCCAAGTCTTGGGAAGCTGAGGTAAGAGAACCATGGGCTTGAGGCCAGTCTCAAAACAAAAGGAATGGAAGAGAGACAGGAAGAAAAGGGGAGGGTGGAAGAGTGGGAGGGGTAAAGGAAAGAAGGAAGGAGGCAGGGAGAGAAGATAGAAGGGAAGGAGGAAGAGGGGAAGAAAATAGAATTTTGTGATCACTTTTCTATGCACTCACTCATTGAAGCAGACTTAAGAACTAGTGGAGATAAGATGAAAGTCACTGTAACTGTCAAAATTGTACCACCAATAAAATATGGAGCCAGAATGAGACATCTGCTACCTGCTACCAACGGTCCATTCTGAAACTCACCACATGCATTCATGCAGATGTTTGGATTTTGATGTCCTAGGCTACAGTAGCTAGCACCTGTAGAAACAAATTTGGCCAAATTTTGGCAGGTAAGACTAGAACTGAAGTGGAACTCATTCTCCCATGATGCCGAGGGTTCTGAGTCTCCTCAAAAGACATAGAATCCTTTTTCTTATTGGAAATGACAATCCTGACTGGGCCGTGTTGTGACTGGGATGATGAACACAAACACCCAGAAAGTTTGTGTTCAGTGTGTGTTTTCATTTTGTAGTTACTTGATGTGCTGAAAAACGTGACCTTCATAGATGGAGGGAATTCTTTCCATTTTTATGCCAATGGGGACTTGAACACTGGATACGATATTGTCCTGTGGAAAGAGACCAATGGCCAGATGACCATCACCAAGGTAGCAGAATATGACCTGCAGGATGATGCCTTTGTCCTCACAAGCCAAGAAACAAGAAAAGAATTCAGAAAATCCAAGGTAATTTTGTTGTAGACTGCACCGTAGCATTTGAACCAATGGTATCTTACCTGCAGAAGTCCTTGAACCGACCAGAACCTCTGAAATCCCTTGCTGTGGCTTGTGTCTAGATGTGCCCCTAAAGCCTCATGCAGTCATAGCTGGAGCTTTTTCTGAGGTGACTGGATCTAGGGCAGGGCTGGGGCTGACTTATGGTGCAATGCTAGGATCCAGGGCACTAGGCTTAGGGTGTGAGTGCTGCCTGCTCTATGTAAACTGGATAAGACAGAAGGGATGCAAGTGCAGGGACCACGGTTCAATCCCCAGTCCTGCATGCTGCACCAGCCACACCCCTGGGACACACTGAGCCGGAAAACAAGTCCAGGCTTGGTGGCAGATGCCTGTAATCCCAGCACTGGGGCGGCTGAAAACAGGAGGCTCACTATGAGTCTGAGCTGCATAATAGGAGCCTGTACCAAATACATAAATGAAAAAAAAAAAAGATAGAAGGGACAGAAAGAGCTGTGGCTGCCTGCGTTACTTTGCTGCCTCTGCCTGCCATGCAGTTTCTCCTCTCGGGTCCTCCGCCACACCACCCTGCCATGGAGCCAGCAGATCACAGACTACAACCCTTGCAAACTTTGAGCTGAATAAGACTTTCCTCCTTTAACTTTGGGTATTGAGTGTGTTATCGTAGCAATGAGAATGTAACTTAAAACGTCCCCTAGCTGCTCACTGCCCCACCTTTCTGCTGAATTTCCTGGTCAACTAGTGTGATGCTCTCCAGGACATAGGGTCAACCCCCAGCCACTCTCCTTATCATTGCCATTTGACAAAATACACTTTTGCTAAATTCAGCTCTGCTAAGAACAGTCTCAGAGTAGCTGAACTTGGAAGAAAAAAATTTTAAAGTGAACACAAGAAAAGAAATGCTGCACAGCAGCCTCACTTTAAATTTGAGACTGCTGGCTTTCAGTGGCCCGCAGTGCTGTGGACAGATCACCCCCATGTCACTGACCTGCCCACCATGCTGGATAGCTGCATCCCCTCTTCTGACTTCAGTACACCTCTTTCTTTTCTGTTGGTCCTGCTTTCTATTCTGCCAACCAGAAGGTAACACTTGGGACAGAATTCAGCATGTCCCATGGCACCTCTGAGCCACAGCCCTCCCTCCGTGGACGTTGCCAAGATTAGCACCTCCTCCCTTGCCTCAAGGAGTGGCTACTTTACCTGTTCCCTGTGCCCTCAAGTTTCCTCCCTTCTACATTATCCGCATGATGGTACAGGTGTGCTGGGTGCTTCCCCCTCTGAAAAATGCCACAGAAACTCCACTGAACCACATACTCTTCCACCAGCTACTGCACCTCTACCTTTCCTTATAGCACAACTCACTGTGCGAGTCGAGTTCAGTGACTTGCCCCAATATCTCTCCTCCCGCACTCCTTGGAACTATCTGAAATACACCAAAATTGTTTCTATGCAGCTTACTCACACTGGCAAATCTAGCGTGTCCTCCTGCGCACCATCAGCCACGGGGCTCACCTCCATGAGACACTCTCCTTGCTTCCTTCTGTGACACCTCAGTCCCCGTCTTCCTCTTTCTGTCTGTAGCCCTTCACCTGCTCCTGGCTGTCCCTGCTGCCTCTACCCACCACCAGCCCAGAGCCGCTCATCTGCTCCTCCCTGTTTATCTGTACTTTTCCCTGTTTTTTTCTATCATGATGTTAGATAGTGTTATTATATTGAAGCTATAGATGTTATAGAATGTCATTATATAGAAGGCTAAGACACCTAGATTTTTATTTTGTCTCCAACCCTAATAAATGCATGGTTGCTTAACTGGCATCTCTGCCTCAACACCCAAAAGTCAATTTAGTTTAATTTCCACAAAACAGAGCTCCTGATACTCTTGTCCAAAGCTGCGCTGCCTGCACACTTCCCCTCCTCAGCTCTTTAGGAAGTAAATTCTGTTGTGTTCCTTGCCCCCTCTCCCGGTCACACTCCATAGCCAATGAAAGTTTGGCTTTTAAAATCTGTCTAGGTGTGCTGGCACACCTATAATCCCAGCACTCCACAGGCTGAGGCAGGAGGATCACCACAAGTTGGAGGCCAGCGTAGGCTACTACATAATGTGCACAAATCCAGCCTCAACTACATAATGAAACTCTATCTCAAAAACCAAAACCAACTAGCAAAAACAAAAATCAAAAATGTATCTAGAATCTGCCCATTGCTCCATCCATTCAAGCTGCCGTCCAGGTGACTGTGGTAGGGTTCCCACCTCTGCAGCTCCAACATGTCACCAGGGACCCTGGGTGGTGACCTGAGCGGCCCCTAGGCCTCACCTCCCCAGCCCGTCCCTGTGACCTGCACCTCCTGCTGCACCCTTCCCCAAAGCAGGGCTTTGTACTTGCCCTTTCTTTGGTCTGGGAAGTTAGTTTCTCATTTCTTTTCTGTGAGTCCTGAAATGTTGCCTTACAGGGAGGTTTTTCCTGAGCCCCCAATACAGTTGCAGTGGCTGGGTGTGATGGTGGGGGTAGGGCCCTGTCCCTGTATAAGGGTCTCGGGTTCCATCTCCAGCAGGGGGACAGAAGGGGGGTAATGCCAACCTCGAATTTCTAGTCACAGTCTCATCTTCCTTTCCCTTATTTTTGTTCTTTTTATGGTCAACCTTGTCAGCTGGCAATGTGATTTCTCTGTCTTGTGCCCTGCTGTGACCCCCACAGTTAAAACAGTGTCTGGCCCATGATAGGCACTCACCACATAGCTGGTGATGGGAGAATGGCTAGAGTGGAGCCGAAGCCCTTTTAGCTAATGTCTCTCTTGTCAGAAGTTCCAGTGAAGCAAAATGTTGTTTCCTTAAAAGACAGGAAATAGTCTTCTGTGTTCTCAGGTTGCCATCTTCTTCCTTACCTTTGCTGTTCTCAAAGCTACATTATGAACCCAGCCCCTGCTAAACACGCAACTCACACTGGGCCTTTTAAATATTGTAACTCACTAACTGCATACAGGGAAGATTCTTATTTTTGCAAGAAGCACACTTGTAACTGTCACCAAGTCTAGCCTCCAGACTGCCTGAGAGCCCTGAGGGGGCAGGTGCAGGGTGCAGGGGTGGGCAGACATGCCGCACAGCAGGCTTCCTTTCCGATGGAAATGGTCACAAATACTTCAAGAATACGATAGAAGTGAACAAGGTCTGAGAACATGTGGTCAGATATACTTACCCTCTGGCAGTTCGTCAGGGCCTTCACAGTCCTGGTGTCTTCAAAATTCCCGGTCCTAAGCGTAGCTAGCCTCCCTCTCCCCCAGGGCCTCTGGTCCTCGGCGTTCCCGCTGCCTCTGGAGGCCAGGAGAGAAAGCCTGGGCTGTGGGAGGGACACAGCTCTGTCTCCCTCCGGCTGGCTAGGTCTGGTGGTCTTCCAAGCACACGCCTGCGGGGAGCAAGGGCCTCGGATTTGGGGCTTGCCTGAGAAGCCCTCCAGGCAGTCCACTTCCTGCTCAAACCCAGGTCTGTAATAAGTGAGTCGAGGGCTGCAGATCCTGGCTGTTTCTCTCCCTCCCTCCTTACCTTCCTCCCAGGTTTTCATCTTTCAGAAAAAACAGTGGTTGACCTAATACTTTGTGTTCCAGACGCAGCTGCTCAGAGAATGCTGACAAAGCCTGGACTAACCTCTGCTTTGACTTTCTCTGGGTAAAAGAAAAACCAAACCACAAATTAATTGTCAGGCTGCATGATGACAAAGGGATCCCGAATGAAAAAGAAATTATTACCTGGATCAGAAGTGGAGAATCCCTCAGAAGTAGATTTCTGTCTAGGATCTGCATCAGAACATGGAGAACTGTGATTTAAATTCTCAATGTTCAGGTTGTCTGTATAACTAGCACTAATTTTTAATTGTGTGTGTGTGTGTGTGTGTGTGTGTGTGTGTGTGTGTATGGTACTAGAGACTGAGCTATGTCTCTAATCCTTTTTTTTTTTAACTTGGAGACATGGTCTCATTAGGTTGTTCAGGCTGGGCTTGAACTAGGAATCCTCCTGCTTCAGCCTCCCAGAATACTAGGATCATAAATGTAAACACTCTGATTTTGTGTGTGTGTGGTTTTGTTTTTTGTTTTTTTTTTTTTTAGAGTGAGGCTGAATAGGCTTTTTAGGTCATGGCAAGAAATTTTTTCAAAAAAGAAAAGAAAAATTTTTCCAAAGGATATAAATGTATAAATTAATATTTTCTTATCTGACAAAAATAACATAGGATTGAAAATTTCCAAATCCTCATTTTTGTTTTTACTACTATACATTTCTTCTGCTCAGAACAGCCTAAAGGAAATACCAGCCATCAATTCTTACAGATATTATTGATGTGACAGGTGCATACTTTCTAAAACAATTTCTCCGTCTAAAGCATTCTATATATTTTAAGCTTGTTCCTATCTTGGGAGAGCAAGAAGTATTTTATTAAAAATGATCAAAATACTATTTAGTAAATATATCTTTAGGGCCGGGGAGATGGCTCAGCAGAATAAGTGCTTCCCTAGTAAATATATCTTTACATGAAAGGATATTATTTTTCTCATCTTGGGGATTTCTTTTCACTTTCAGTGGAGCAGATTCTGTCTAAATGCCCCCAAAGAGTGCAGCCTAGGACAAATGAAGACGATGACGAGAAGCCAACAGTTGCCACGACTGTGTCAGCTGCCCCGAACATCTCTACAGCAGTCAGACAGCTAACTGCGGGCATGTTGGGCGGAAGTTCCTTTTTCATGAATCCTATTTTGGTTTTTTTTAATCTAAAAAAATGTTACCAGCTTCCTGTCTGTTAGGTGAAATGCCATGAAGTTTCGTTTTATTCTGGCATTTCCTGTCACTTGGTGTGTGACCTCTAAAGGAATATCACTTCCAGGGAGAAGCATTGCTGGAGAACAGCCCGCCATGAACAGCCCTCAGAGCACCGCACACAGCTCGCCGTGAAGAGCCCTCAGAGCACCGCACACAGCTCGCCGTGAGCAGCCCTCAGAGCACCACGGTACAGCCCGCCGTGAACAGCCCTCAGAGCGCCGCACACAGCTCGCCGTGAGCAGCCCTCAAGCGCCGCGGCACAGCCCGCCGTGAACAGCCCTCAGAGCACCGCACACAGCTCGCCGTGAACAGCCCTCAGAGCACCGCGGCACAGCTCGCCGTGAGCAGCCCTCAGAGCACCGCACACAGCTCGCCGTGAAGAGCCCTCAGAGCGCCGCGGTACAGCCCGCCGTGAGCAGCCCTCAGAGCACCGCACACAGCTCGCCGTGAAGAGCCCTCAGAGCGCCGCGGCACAGCTCGCAGTGAACAGCCCTCAGAGCGCCGCGGCACAGCCCAGCGTGAACAGCCCTCAGAGCACCGCACACAGCTCGCCGTGAAGAGCCCTCAGAGTGCCGCGGCACAGCCCAGCGTGAACAGCGCTCAGAGCGCCGCAGCACAGCTCGCAGTGAACAGCCCTCAGAGCACCGCGGCACAGCCCAGCGTGAACAGCCCTCAGAGCGCCGC